CTCTATCAAAATTGTAAGTCGAGATAAAACATACAAAATGAGATATAAAGTATTTTAGTGCTACCACACTAGACATTTATTTTCCTTTAAAGTATATAAACACAAATCAAAGATTTTAATACGGAGTATGATTTACTATTATAGAATAGTAAGTTTATAGGATCGGATTGTAGTCAGTTAGTAATGTCCACCGATTGCATTAAAAATTCATACATAGTCAAACTATGTGCGAACTAAATATATTGAATAACGTAACAGAAACTCCAAATATTTAATACTTCGTTCTAATTTTGATGGTGGCAAGGGTAATTGAGTCCATCATGGCATCATCATATTAATAGTACCACAATTTACTGACTGGGTACACTCCCTCATGCATGACAAAACGTTGACATAATCTAGGACATTAGCCGGTATTCACAATTATAAGTTTTTAGGAATTATTTCTCATTGGAATTCATTCTTGTTTTCTACGTTGTGATTTCTCCCTTTTGCTTCTTTCCCGTGTGTTTCTTTACTCTTTCTCTTTTCACATGAGTGAAAGTGGGTTGTTATTCACCACTCATCTATACAATTTAACCGGCTCGATCTCACCCTTCGTCTACCCTTTTTTACAAGTCTCTGCAAACTTAGGTGTGAAAGCTCAAATGAGACTTTTTTCATCCCAAGGTTGCAATTGGTCTAATCTATAGAGATTTAAGTATGAATGGTAAACAAGTGGATTTAAAGAATGACCTCTCCAATTACCGAATGTCATTTATGCATTGGATGCGCAAATATAATTCAATCAAAACTTTGAATAAACTGTTCGATTTAAATTTAAAGTGTGAACAACTCAACCTATCACTCGAATGGAGTTTTATATGAGGAGTATTGTTGAACTATTGAACCAATGTAGATAGTATAATTTAGTCATATACCATTAATTAGTTTAATTCCATATCTCAATTTTTCAGATCTAATCACAATTGCTAAGTAAGAGGGACACCAATCAAGTGATAAGATGTAAATCAAGTGATAAGAGCATCTCCAATGCTAAAATGTTCACGGTGCACATGTGGCATGAGTGATAGCCACATAAGTATTAGCAAATAATTTATTTCTCTCCTTATTTGAATGATTTTATACAATTTTGGTAAGTTTTTCCCTGGAATGTCAACAACAATGTCAACATTAGACGGTCTCCTTGACATTGTGGAGAAAACTTACCAAAACTGTATAAAATCATTCAAATAAGGAGGGAAATAATTTATTTACTAATATTTATGTGGTCATCTCTCATGCCACGTGTGCACCGTGCACATTGTACTATTGAAGATGCTCTAAGATGTAAATGAATCACACTTACCTATTTTAGCCTCTCATCGTTATAATAGTCATCCGAAAATACATACATTGACTTATTGGAGAATGATACAAGAAATGCATATGTTCTCCAATGACATAGTAAATGAACTTGACTTGTATTTAATAGAGAAAAGAGAAAGGCTAACCGCAGCCCTCTACATCAATAAATCAAATTCTTCATCAATTTATACGTATTTACTCAATCTAAGTAGCACGGAAACGGGAAACGGGAAATGTGAAATGGAAAACGCGAGAAACATAATTTCTAAAAAATATAGGACACGAAACGTGGGGAACGCGTAAATATTATAAAATATAAGGATATATTTATAAATATTTTTAAATATATGTATTTTTTCATATGCACATGTTTTTTTAATATAATTTGTTTAGTAACCAAATAATAAAATCACTCTACATGTTCGAATTTAGATATTATTTCATATTAGTACATAATTAAACATAAAATGTACAGAGTAATACCTTTCTGGCAATACATTGTGTTACGAAATGTAAATAGTGTTGCCGCTGAGAAATACCACAAAAATTCACTATAAAAAATTATTTTCCACCACAGAATCTTTTGAAAAAGAAAAAAATTGGAATCCGAGGTTTCCGAAACGTAGTGAAACGGGTTTCCAATTTTTTTTAATTACGGAAACGGCTCCGAAACGGGAATTTGAAGTTTCCGAGTTTCTGAAACCCTTCCGAGTTTCCGAAACGTGGAAACGTGAGCCATGGAGAGTTTCTGTGCTTCCTAGCACTCAATCAATTTACTTTTTTTCTTCAACTCAACACATTCAGTATATTCACTCAGCAATATATTCTAATTAAAACATTCATTTTACTATTATACATCATTTTTTGCCATATTATGATCTACACAAAAATAAATTTGGAGTTTATTTTTGTTGTTGTTACTTCAGACCTATTTAAATAAAAGGGAAAAGGGTCAAATAGGCTCTCGAACTTACATAAAAAGGTCAAATAAGTCATTACATAGGAGGCTCTGTCCGGCCGTAGCCATTTTGGGCAGTTCCCGGTGGAATTTTTTTATAAAAGTTATTGAGCATCTTATTCATTAAGTCTAGTTTACTCATACCAAATTTCAGCTAACAATTCAATCGGGAAGGCATTAAAATGAAATTCTGAAGATAACTGCACAGTTAAAAGCGCAATTATCTTCAAGAATTGATTTGAATGTCTTCCCGGTTGAAATTTTAGCTGAAATTTACTATGAGTAAATTAGACTTAATGAATAAGATTTAATGAATAAGATGCTAAAAAAATTCATCAAAATGACCAAAATGACGACGGCCGACAGATCCTCCTATATAAGGGCTTATTTGACCTTTTTATGTAAGTTCGGGGGCCTATCTGACCTTTTTCCCTAAATAATAAAATGATTGAGAGCTGTAAAAAACAAAAAATTAATCATCACATCTTAATTTTAGCACTTGGATTTATTTAAGAGAAATTTTGGGTCCACATATTAAAAAATATATATTTAGCATCCCATTTAATATTTATGTCATATGAAACATCTCTCATTGTTATGTATTTTAATATGATTTTTTTAAATATTGGATTATAAATAAAAAAGTTATAATGCTTTAATCAAAATTACGAATTTTCATTTTGGGGGGGGGGGGGGGGGGGGGCACGACGCTTTCACACCCGCCCATTCTCTTCTCTCAATTGAATCGAGGCTACTAATTTTCCATCCATGGGTTCTCCACACCCACTCTAGTACCTTCATATGCTCTTTTTGGCATGGGTTGTAGTAGATTTGGGGTGAAAATCTCGAATTTGCGGTTTTCACCCAACCCATTGCGGAGAGCCCAAAGACATAAAAAATTAGTCGAGGGTCAATCTTAATATAGAAGCTAAAGGTTAGAACCAAAAGAAGCTCAATGATTCGTTTGTTGTTCAGCGAATGGCTGCCTATACGCTCCATTTTGCAGCGTTTGTATTTGAAAATTATCAGTGTTTCATTTAAATAGCTATTATTCTTGGTTTTAGTCTAACCTTAATCATCCAAAATTTTACACGTTAAAAATACGGATGCATAACCCACTTTGTATATTCAACCAGGGCTGCACAAAATAACATTATTTCGCCTAAGTCGTCCGACCCAACAATATCCAGCCATGTTTTCGACTATTTGACCCCATATAAACCAAGAGCCAAGTTTTTACTAATCCACACATAATGAGTAGGACTTCTGATGTAGCAGTCTCAAAATCGTTGTTATCCGATTTTGCCTACACAAAGATGTTTTTGCTACTCTTTAAATTATATTCCCTTCAATTTCTACTTTTGGAAATTGAAAAGAATTCTCTTCTTTAGTTTTATATTACTTTGCTATGACGTTTTGCTAGATTGCTATATATGATACACTTAAAAACTAGAGTTATACATGTTTGCCATTTGCTCCAGTTTATTTACATTTGATTCCTTAAGAAACTTAATTTCTTTTCTCAAGGGTGACTTAGTATTGTTATACAAAACTACTAAATCACTCAGTGCGTTGCACGATTAATAATTATTCCTAAATAAATGTTGATCACATAATTAATTATAGAAATATATATTATATGTTGAGTGCAAGTAAAAGGGATAGTAACAGAGAATGGAAATTCCACATTAAAGATTAAATTTAAAAAAATACAAATAAATTGTATTCATTATAGTGTTTTTTAAAATACAAACAGGTCAAGTAATTACACATGACTCAAAGACTTTGAGAAACCTATTTGTAATAGGCTAATATAATTAGGAATCTACCTAATAGATATTTAGGAATCTGCCTAATATCTAGTTAGAAATACTTTGTATTTTGGCAACTCTTCTACTATAAATATATCTGTCAGGACTCCTATTGGAGTACCTCTTTCCCATTATTTCACATGGTATCAGGAGCTTAGGTTTTTAGACACATTTTTTTTCTCTCTTTTATTTTTCGGTTCCCATGAACCTTATTTTTTTTCTCTCTTTTATACATATTATTTATTGTCTCGTTTGTATATCAGTAATAGTAAAAACTTCAGTCACTTCTCATTGGTCACTCGTGACGACAAAGCAATATACCTTATACGTAGTATAATTGTTCGTGACAAACATATTATCCTTAACAAGAGACCTATAAAATAAAAAAAATAAGTCCAAAAACTTGTACAACTAATAAAAATTACTTGACTAAATCCGCAATGTTCTCCAAACAAAATATACGTAGTTATTTAATCCTTATTAAAGATAGGGAGAGAGATCAAAACATATTGTTTTGTCTATTATTATACGAAATAAAAGATATCTATTGTGATAAAGTAATGGCTTATCCAACTAGGTAGCCTCATGGTATATTTATAATTAAACTATAATATGGAAAGTACAATAGTAACCTAAAATATATTGGGCTATTTCACCCCCTCACTTTTCAAATATTCAAAACGCTGACTAGACAAGTTCTTCGTAAAAATATCAGCTAACTGAAACTGTGTAAGAATATATTTAACAATAAGATCACCATGAGCTACCCTTTCCCTGACGAAATGATAATCAATTTTGATATGCTTGCTTCGATCATGCTGTATGGGATTCACTGCCAAATATGATGCTGAGACGTTGTCACAGTAGAGCTGCACTGGTTTGGGCAAATAGAAGCCCATATCGGCAAGAAGAGATCGAATAAAAAGTGTGTCCTGAACAGTATATGCAACAGCCCGATACTCGGCCTCCGTAGAGGATTTGGAGACTGTGGGCTGTTTCTTGGACTGCCAGGAAATCAAATTACCGCCCAAGAAAATAGCATAACCTGTAGTAGAATGGCAACTATCGGGGCATCCTGCCCAATCTGCATCTGAATAGGCAACAATAAGAGTCGTATCACCCCCTTTCCTCAACCATAGACCTTCAGAAATAGTACCCTGCAAATATCTGTAAATGCGCTTCACAGCCAATAGGTGAGTAGTACGAGGAGCATGCATAAACTGGGAAACTAAATGAACAGCATAAGTAATGTCCGGTCTTGTAATAGTCAAATATTGCAAAGCACCCACCATGCTGCGGTAAGTAGTACCATCGGCTAAAAGTTCTCCATCAGTCAAGGAAAGAGTGGTACGAGAGGGAAGAGGTGTACGGACTGGTTTGACAGTATGGAGATGAAAACGACGCAAAAGATCGGAGATGTATTTTTGTTGTGACAAGAACATCCCTTTAGAAGTGTGAAGTGTCTGAATGCCCAGAAAATAATGAATTTCACCCAAGTCTTTCATGGCAAAGGTATGAGATAGAGCAGATATAACTGAAGAAACTATGGATGAGGAATTCCCTGTAATGAGTATATCATCAACATATAAAAGAATATAGACAAAGCATGAATGATGATGATATACAAACATGGAAGAATCAGACTTACTCTGGATGAAACCATGACTGAGTAAGAAGCCACTAAACCTGTGAAACCAGGCTCTTGGAGCCTGTTTAAGCCCATATAAAGCCTTGCGTAACCGACAAATATGATGAGGAAAAGAGGGATGAACAAAACCTTGAGGCTGACGCATGTAAACTTCCTCAGTTAGATAACCATGTAAAAATGCATTTTTGACATCTAACTGACGGACACTCCAACCAAAAGAAGTAGCAAGAGATAGTAAAAGGCGAACCGTAGTGGGTTTAACCACCGGACTAAAAGTTTCTGAAAAATCTACCCCAGCCTGCTGTTTGAACCCTTGAGCTACCAATCGAGCCTTATGGCGTTCAATCGACCCATCAGAATTATATTTAGTTTTATAAATCCACCTGCAACCTACCACATTTTTGCTAGGGTCGTAAGGTACTAAATCCCATGTCTGATTTGCAATTAATGCATTGAACTCTTCAGCCATGGCCGCCCGCCATTTTAAATTTTTATTTGCTTGTGAAAAACAAGTAGGATCCGGGGGACACTCTCGAGTAGTAAGGGAGAAAATATTTTTGGGTTTAAAAATGCCATCTTTAGCCCGAGTGCGCATGGGATGAATGTTTTTAACCGGAGGAGGAGAAGGAGAGGGGCTGGGCGAGGACCCTATCGAGGGACTGGACGAGCGACTGGATGGACTGGACAAGGTGCTGGACGAAGGAGTTGACTCGGTAGTGTGTACAGAAACAGATGGTGAAGGACTGGGTGGTGTGTGATCAGGTGAAGAGGAAGTAGTTGACCGGCTGGATGGGGTTTCATCTTGGTGTGCCGAGGACGGTGAGGAAGGTGGAAGTGTAGGTGGGCGATGTGGTGATGAATGTTGGACAGGAGCACGGCTAACATTGGTGACCCTAAAGGGATACGGGGCACTAGAGACCAGTGGTGGATGGGCTGGAGGAAGGACATCGGCATAAGGAAATTTGTCCTCATGAAAGATAACATCCCGACTAATGTAGACACGACCGGTAGTGGGATCAAAACAACGGTAGCCTTTGTAGCCAGAAGCATAGCCAAGAAAGACACAACGGACAGAGCGAGACGATAGCTTATTTGCCGAAGTGGCAATTTTATTAGGAAAACACTCACACCCAAAAACACGTAAAAAAGCATAGTCCGGAGGTTTATTTAAAAGTCTATGATACGGACTAAGACCACACAAAACCGGAGTAGGTAAGCGATTAATGATATATGTAGCGGCGTATAGAGCATCAACCCAAAACTGAGGTGGTAAGTGTGCCTCAATAAGCATAGTACGAATTAATTCTAAAATATGTCGATGTTTACGTTCTGCTACTCCGTTTTGGGCAGGGGTGTCCGGGCAAGATTTTTGGAAAAGAATACCACACTTAAGAAAATGATTATGAAAGATGTGGTTGTCAAACTCACCCCCGCCATCACTTTGAAAGCATTTAATTTTACAATTCAAAAGATTTTCAACTAAATTTTGAAAATGACAAAAATGAGTAAAAACCTCTGATTTTCTACGCATAGGATAAACCCAAGTGAATCTAGAAAAATCATCAATAAAACAGACATAATATTTAAACTGTAAATGTGAGAGAACAGGGGATTGCCAAACATCGGAGTGAATTAACTGTAATGGAGCAGTAGCAAAATGTAACACATCTTGAAAAGGCAATCTATGAGATTTGCCAAGACGACATGAAGTGCAAGAAAAATTTAAACCACTAGTAGAATTAATTAAATGTGTGCGCCGCAAGGTAGACAAAATGCTATTACCACAATGACCCAACCGTTTATGCCAAACTTGACCAGGTGCAGACAATGTGAACAAGGCAGAAGACACTCTAGGTGGGATGAACGGATAGATCCTATCTTTATGTGAAGCTCGGAGTAGAGTTGCCCCCGTGTGATTGTCCTTAACATAGAAAACATTTTTGTCAAAAATCACAGTGCAATTATTATCATCACATAACTTTTGAATAGAAAGTAAATTAAACTTGAGGTGAGGAACACAATAAACAGATTTCAAAGTGAGTGGGCGGCCTACTGTAGGAAAAACAATATCACCAATTGTAGACACTGGTAAATTAGTTCCATTAGCAACCTGCACATTTATGGGGATTGCAAGAGAAGACTTATTTGACAAAATACCTTCTGTGGGTGTCACTACTAGAAAAAGGACTTTTAACGACCACTATATAACGACGGACCTAAATTATTGTCGTTAAAAGTATCTTTTAACATCAACTACTGTATTCGTCGTTATTAAATTTTATCTTTTACGACAATAATGGAAGTGGTTGTTATTGATTAATGAACAATCATCGTTATTACTAATTAATTGTTTTTTCCGATAAGTTATACTCTGTACTACTATTAAAAATTTAATCAAGAGAAAAACCAATCACTTTGAAATTCGAATACCCTTAATTATAAATATTCATTATGCCGCCTAAATTAACTCCAATTGTTTTCACTATGCCGCTTAAATTTTAACTCCAATTGTTTCACTATGCCGCTTAAATATTAACTCCAGTTTAAATGTTTTGTTCCCTGACCTCATCTAATTGGGTCGAATAGATAAGAGTATAAACCCTAGGCATAGCTATCCGCATCTTGGAAATCACCGCAAATGGCTTCCAGAGGATTGAACTCGTTCTCATTCAATCGTTCCTCTGGCTCAATTGTTTAACTCGCTCGGTGTTTCATCTCATTCGATCGCTAATCTTACTCTCACTGGATTATCGAAAGCCAAAGCCCCCTCTCACTCAATCGCCGAAAGTTTCCTCTTGCTCGATTGCTGAAATTTCCTCTCGCTCGATTGCCGAAAGTTTCTCCTGCCGGTAGGGTTTTCCTTTATATTTTCGTCTGACAGTTCATTCTTCCTGTCCCAGGTAACTTTGATCTTCAACATTTATTATTTTTTTCAGCAATCTAGATGTTTGTTGTATAAATTTATTTAATCCTACTTGCTCTGTTTATTTTCTTGTCTGATTTGCTTTAATTTGATGAATCGCTGAGAGTTTTAATCTTTACATCTATGTTTTCTTAAATAATCGAATTGCTAAACTTGCTCCAATGAAGTATTATGAGTATTACAATACATAAAAAATGAAATCAGCTAATTATATCCACGAGCAGGCGTTGGATTTAATTATTATATTTGGCCAATTACTATTTATTAGCACTTAACTGGGACAAACACTGCAAACACTTGATCCTAGTTTGTGTTTACAGAGTTGCTTATAGTGGAGACTGACAAATAGAAGAAGAAATGGTGGCTGCTTGGAAGATAATAACTTCCTCCAACAAGTTTGATGCTGAAAGTCCCTCTTTTGATCACTTTTAACGTCTCTAGACGGGGAAGAGTGTTAAGGAAACAAGAGACTGCATTGTAATTGGCTGTGTATATAAAGAGCATATTCCGTCATAACTACTGTATACTTGGGATATATTGAAGATTATAAAAACATTCCACTACTTTTTTTTTCCTGCTGGTTCTTGAATCTTGATCTTAGTTGATCTACTGTATATCTTGGGCATGGATGAAGGCCAAAAAAGGTTCATTTAAGATATAGTCAGGACTGGAAAAAACTGAAAGTAAAAGTTCTTTTGTCATTTTCCCGAAGTATACTTGGGCTACTTAGTACAAAAGAAATATGAGGATGTATCTTTTGTTGGGGCAGCTTCTATTTCCCCTTGTTAGGCGTGATTGTTTTATCTTTATAACTTAAGAATATCCATAATTTTATCTTCTATTTTCAAGGCAGGAGTGAGAAGTGTTAACCCTCTCTTCAGGACCTAGTCTCTGTTGCCCGCCATGACTGACTGCCCACTGCCTCTATCAGTATAAATGCTTATTCTGCTATATATTTGATATATAACCATTATAATACGTAGGGTTTGAAGTTTGCACAATTTTTATTCAGGCTTGATCTATGAAGTATAATGAACATGTTCTTTTGTTGGATTTAACTGGTGCAGGTTAACCCACTTTTGTAAAGTGTATGGCTACAGATCTTGGTGCAAATCTTAAACCTGCTAGAGTTAACCTGCTACTTCTCTAAGGCTACTCAAAGAGATGAAACTCAAAAGCTGATTAAAAAATGCACTTGGATGAGAAACCCAAGATAAACTGATTGGTTGTTCATTGATTGTGAAGAGTAAGGCTAGGCTTTTACTCAATTTAAACAGAGCATAGAAGTGGTCAAATAACCATTAGCTTACTTTGCATTAGTTTTATTTTTGAGTTGATGGAGATTGCTTTATCACTAATATACTAGCACTATTAGAATGCATAGTTCTATCAGTACAAATTTCCTTTATAATCGAAAAATGGCAGCATAGCATTAATTATGTGTGGCAGCATAGCATTAATATATAGGTACTCAAATTTACATAATGATTATAAAAAATGGTTATGTAATACAGTATTGATGAACGCAGATATCTGTTGGGCGCATGGAGTCAAATAGTCTTGTAAGTGACCAAATTAAATGAAGATACAAACAAAGGTGAGTTTTTCTCTATATATGAATGCCCTAATAAAATATGTTTTTATACTAGAATGACCTAATTAGATGGTCATATTGCTTTGCAGTTCAGTGTTTAAACTTACATGTGGATCAGTATCTATTTTAATTAAGTGCTCTGTTAATTAGAGTATTTGTTCTCGTGAAGAGTAGATTATTTGTTCTTGTTCTGCTAAAAAACAACCCACTATGACTTGTGTTCTCGTGAGGAGTAGAGTATTTGTTCTTGTTTTGCTAATTAGAAATAGAAATGTTTTTATATACAGAGATATTGAGGTCAGTGAGCAGCTTGGTATAGTTCTTTCACGAAATGATGCACTTGTTTCTTGTAGGTCTATATCAATGCCTATTCCTGTTGGTAATTAACAACCAGAGGAGGAGGAGGCCGAACAACTTTTTTAGAGATATGCTTTTAAATTTGCTACAAAGGTGCACACTGACTTCATCCTACAAAAAACTCTTTAAATACGATTTATTTTTTACATGCCATAAGAAAAAGACAAAGGAGAGTAAATCATTGTGTATTTTGGATACTTTCTATTCAAATCTGGTATCTTATTTATTAGTTTACCAATTGAGCTCCTCAACGACCAAACTGCAACCCATTAAATTAGATCCTAACTTGTAAAGGCTCCTCTATGAGCAACCCATTTTCTCACTTATGAGGGCTTAACATATACTCTCCTTTATGTCAAAGAAGATTTGATACCCCACATATGTGATCTTCATCAATAATTGGTCCACTATGTTTCAAGAAAAAATCAGCAGTAGATTCTGGGTTTGAGACATAGGTTCTATTTCTGAATTGGAATTAGATTTAGATGATTCTTATGAGTCGGATGAAATTGTGAAAAATCAAGGGCTATTGATGAGGAACGGGCTCGGAAATAGAGGGAAGCATGGTAAGACTTGCAGCTTAACATCCAACAAAAAGAATCTGATGCATTTAGATTGCCAACGGGATAGAATTTAGTAGGGGGAATGTTTCAGATTGAATTTCTTTCATATTCATTTGATAAACACCCCTATTGAATTTAGTAGGGAGATTGTTTCATACTACGTATAAAATTGAAATATAATTTTGTTAAAGAAACATATTATTTCTCTTATAAGTATTTATGTCATTTTGTTAGAAAATCTAAAGTATATGCCCTTCTTTGCAGATAATAAAGACGAGAGTTGAAGTTGCAGCGCAACAATGGGGCATTGAACCACTACGTACTTAATATTGATTTAGTATTCACTTTTTCATATATTTATTTAATGATACATATGTGTTCCTACAATTATGTATTGAGACTTTATTTTATTTATATAGATGATGACTCCGTATTATATTGTATCAAGTTACAACAGTTGTATATATGAGTTGTTGAATTTATTGGAGGTTTGGTACATAATAACATATGGGTTGTTGAATGCACAATTGCTTCATTTCATATTTTCATGTTGTTCTAAATTTCTAATTGATAACAAAGTATTCTATTAATAATCATACGTTTAATAAAACGGAAAATATGGTTACTGTTATAAAGCGTTATCATTATTGGGTAATGATTTTAGAAATATGTATAAGAAATAACAATGAAAAATTATATTGTCGTTATTATGTAACGATGAGTGAGTTTCTTGTCGTTAATAAGCAACGACGATATCATGTATCGTCGTAAATTATTAACGATGAACTTTGTCGTTAAAACCAATAACGACGGAGGCTATAACAACCACTTGATGACGAAAAAAAAAATGGTCTTTAAAAATTTTAACGACCAACTTTTGAGCTTTTAACGACAACATTTTTCATTGTTAAAAGTCCTTTTTCTAGTAGTGTGTCATGTGTGCCGATGCTCCAGAATCAGGATACCACACTGACTCAGTGGTATCTCCCGTGGACAAAGCAGCAAGAGCAGGAGTAGAGCCAGAGGTGAACCTAGAACAAGTTAGGGCCGAATGGCCAGGAGAGAAGCACAATTGACACACAATCGGGGGCATTGGGGAATTATAAGACTGATCAACTGATGAAGAACCTGCACCAACAATATTAGTACTGCAGACAGAAGGGTTAAACAATTTATGATTTACCAGAGGGAGATTACAAATACCGACATTAGAGAACCCAGAAGATGAATGTCCACGAGTGGAATTATAGTCAAAGCCGCGTGGAGGAGGGTACTGCCCGTGAAAACCCTGCTGCCCATATGATGGAAACTGTCCATAAAAAGCTCCAGGGGGGAACTGCCCACGTCCCCTGCCACGTTGACCCCGGCCACGGCTACCACGTGCTCCACGACCTCCCTGTCGCTGCTGCACACCCCCTTCGGCCAGATGATGCACGGGGTTGCTGCCCAGAATGCTGGAC